CCAATATACACTAAAAATAAATACAAACGCAATATGCAACAATTTCAAAGATTTTCTGAGTTACAGTTCATATAAGGAAATCAGTCAATTTAAATAAAATCATCAGGCCCTAATCTATGGATTTCACATGACTGGGAATACAGATATGCATCTGTTGGTCACAGATATCTTTTAAAATGTAGGGTCGTGTATCTGAAAACCTTTCTGTATCTGGTGTGACCACCATTTACCTCATGCAGCGCGACACATCTCCTTCGCATAGAGTTGATAAGGCTGTTGATTGTGGCCAGTGGAATGTTGTCCCACTCCTCTTCAAGGGCTGTGTGAAGTTGCTGGATATTGGCGGGAACTGGGAAGAACTGGGACATTTTCAGCTTCCAGGAATTGTGTACAGATCCTTGCGACATGGGGCCATGCATTATCATGCTGAAACATGAGGTGATGGCGGCGGATGAATGGCACGACAATGGGCCTCAGGATCTCGCGACGGTATCTCTGTGCATTTAAATTGCCCTCAATAAAATCCAACTGTGTTAGTTGTCTGTAGCTTATGCCTGCCCATACCATAACCTCATCGCCACTATGGGGCACTCTGTTCACAACGTTGACATCAGTAAACTGCTCGCCCACACGACGCCATACACACTGTCTGCCATCTGCCCAGTACAGTTGAAACCAGGGTTAATCCGTGAGGAGCACACTTCTCCAGCATGCCAGTGAATATCGAAGGTGAGCATTTTCCCACTGAAGTCGGTTATGACGCCGAACTGCAGTCAGGTGAAGACCCTGGTGAGGATGACGAGCACGCAGATGAGCTTCCCTGAGACGGTTTCTGACAGTTTGTGCAGAAATTCTTCGGTTGTACAAACCCCCAGTGTCATCAGCTGTCTCAGACAATCCTTCAGGTGAAGAAGCCGGATGTGGAGGTTCTGGGCTGGCGCGGTTACACAAGGTCTGCTGTTGTGAGGCCGGTTGGATGTACTGCCAAATTCTCTAAAACAATATTGGAGGCAGCTTATGGTAGGGAAATTAACATTAAATTATCTGGCAACAGCTCTGGTGGACATTCCTGCAGTTAGAATGCCAACCGCATGCTCTCTCAAAACATTTTAGAGTGGCCTTTTATTGTCCCCAGCACAAGGTGCACCTGTGTAATGATCATGCTGTTTAATCAGCTTCTTGATATGACACACCTGTCAAGTGGATGGATTATCTTGGCAAAGGAGAAATGCTCACTAACAGGGATGCAAACAAATTTGTGCACAAAATTTGAGAGAACTAAGCTTTTCGTCTGTATGGAAAATTTCTGGGATCTTTTATTTCAGCTCATGAAACACTTACATGTTGCGTTTATATTTTTGTACAGTAAAGTATTCAGACCCCTTGACGTTTTCCACATTGTTACTTTACAGCCTTATTCTAAAATGGATTACATAGATTTTTTCCCTCATCAATCTACACACAATACCCCTTAATGACAACGCAAAAACAGGTTTTTAGAATTGTTTGCGAATTTATAGTTTAAAAAAAACAGAAATACCTTATTTACATAAGTATTCAGACCCTTTGCTATGAGACTTGAAATTGAGCCCAGGTACATCCTGTTTCCATTGATCATCCTTGAGATGTTTCTACAAATTGATTGGAGTCAACTTGTAGTAAATTCAATTGATTGGACTTGATTTGGAAAGGCACACACCTGTCTATATATGGTCCCACAGTTGACAGTGCATATTAAAGCAAAAACCAAGCCATGAGGTTGAAGGAATTGTCCCGAGGCACATATCTGGGGAATGGTACCAAGAACACAGTGGCCTCCATCATTATTAAGTGGAAGAAGTTTGAGACTACCAATATTCTTTAGAGAACTGGCTTCCCGGCCAAACTGAGCAACCGGGGGAGAAGGGCCTTGGTCAGGGAGGTGACCAAGAACCCAATGGTCACTCTGACAGCGCTCCAGAGTTCCTCGGTGGAGATGGGAGAACCTTCCAGAAGGACAACCATCTCTGCAGCATTCCACCAATCAGGCCTTTATGGTAGAGTGGCCAGACGGAAGCCACTCCTCAGTAAAAGGCACATGACAGCCTAATTGGAGATTGCCAAAAAGGAAACCTGAGACCATCCCTACGGTGAAGCATGGTGGTGGCAGCATCATGCTGTGGGGATGTTTTCAGCGTCAGGGATAGGGAGACTAGTCAGGCTCGAGGGAAAGATGAACGGAGCAAAGTACAGAAAGATCCTTGATGAAAACCTGCTCCAGAGCACTCAGGACCTCAGACTGGGGGCGAAGGTTCACCTTACAACAGGACAACAACCCTAAGCACACAGCCAAGACAACGCAGGAATGGCTTCGGGACAAGTCTCTGAATTGTCATTGAGTGGCCCAGCCAGAGCTCGGACTTGAACCCGATCAAACATCTCTGGAGAGACCTGAAAATAGCTGTGCAGCGACGCTCCCGATCCAACCTGACAGAGCTTGAGAGGATCTGCAGAGAAGAATGGGAGAAACTCCCCAAATACAGGTGTGCCAAGTTTGTAGCGTCATACCCAAGAAGACTCGAGGCTGTAATCCCTGTCAAAGGTGCTTCCACAAAGTACTGAGCAAAGGGTCTGAATACCTATGTAAATGTCATATTTCATATTTTTATTTTTAAGAAATGTATATACACTGTATATACAGTTGAAGTCGGAAGTTTACATACACTTAGGTTGGAGTCATTAAAACTCGTTTTTCAACCACTCCACAAATATCTTGTTAACAAACTATAGCTTTGGCAAGTCGGTTAGGACATCTACTTTATGTGCGACACAAGTAATTTTTCCAACAATTGTTTACAGACAGATTATTTCACTTATAATTCACTGTATCACAATTCCAGTGGGTCAGAAGTTTACATACACTAAGTTGACTGTGCCTTTAAACAGTTTGGAAAATTCCAGAAAATGATGTCATGGCTTTAGAAGCTTCTGATAGGCTAATTGACATCATTTGAGTCAATTTGAGGTGTACCTTTGGATGTATTTCAAGGCCTACCTTCAAACTTGGTGCCTCTTTGCTTGACATCATGGGAAAATCTAAATAAATCAGCCAAGAGAAAAAACATTGTTGACCTCCACAAGTCTGGTTCATCCTTGGGAGCAATTTCCAAACGCCTGAAGGTACCATGTTCATCTGTACAAACAATAGTACGCATGTATAAACACCATGGGACCACGCAGCCGTCATACCGTCCAGGAAGGAGACACGTTCTGTCTCCTAGAGGTGAACGTACTTTGGTGCGAAAAGTGAAAATCAATCCCAGAACAACAGCAAAGGACCTTGTGAAGATGCTGGAGGAAACAGGTACAAAAGTATCTATATCCACTGTAAAACGAGTCCTATATCGACATAACCTGAAAGGACGCTCAGCAAGAAAGAACCCACTGCTCCAAAACCGCCATAAAAAAGCCAGACTACGGTTTGCAACTGCACATGGGGACAAAGATCGTACTTTTTGGAGAAATGTGCTCTGGTCTGATTAAACAAAAATAGAACTGTTTGGCCATAATGACCATTGTTATGTTTGGAGGAAAAAGGGGGTGGCTTGCAAGCCGAAGAACACCATCCCAACCGTGAAGCACTGGGGTGGCAGCATCATGCTGTGGGGGTGCTTTGCTGCAGGAGGGACTGGTGCACTTCACAAAATAGATGGCATCATGAAGAAGGAAAATGTTGTGGATATGTTGAAGCATCATCTCAAGACATCAGTCAGGAAGTTAAAGCTTGGTCGCAAATGGGTCTTCCAAATGGACAATGACCCCAAGCATACTTCCAAAGTTGTGGCAAAATGGCTTAAGGACAACAAATTCAAGGTATTAGAGTGGCCATCACAAAGCCCAGACCTCAATCCTATAGAAAATGTGTGGGCAGAATTGAAAAGCGTGTGTGAGCAAGGAGGCTTACAAACCTGACTCAGTTACACCAGCTCTGTCAGGAGGAATGGGCCAAAATTCACCCAACTTATTGTGGGAAGCTTGTGGAAGGCTACCTGAAACGTTTGACCCAAGTTAAACAATTTTAAAGGCAATGCTACCAAATACTCATTGAGTGTATGTAAACTTCTGACCCACTGGGAATTTGACGAAATAAATAAAAGCTGAAATAAATAATTCTCTCTACTATTATTCTGACATTTCACATTCTTAAAATAAAGTGGTGATCCTAACTGACCTAATACAGGGACTTTTTACTAGGATTAAATGTCAGGAATTGTTAAAAACGAGTTTAAATGTATTTGGCTAAGGTGTACGTAAACTTCCGACTTCAACTGTATATCCCAAACGTATTTTGACATTTTTAAGCTTGAAAAGCTGGTGAATGGCAAGTTGAATGGCTGCTTCCTGGGCTTAAAAGAGAATCGCCATATTCAACGTCTCCTGTAAACCCAGATTCTGGTTCAGGGCCAACCAGTGTATGCCATATGCAGAAGCTGTCAGGAGGGTTGAGGGAGTGAATGACCCTCAAGGGCCCATGGTGGTGTATAGGCCTTTACTGCAGGCTGCAGGGATGCCCTCTCATCAGCACGACCCAGAGATGTTGCATTTGAAGAAGGTGGACTTTGTGGTTTTGATTGCAATGGTGGTCAATGACATGGCTAAGGTGGAGAAGAGGTCCGGAAGGATGGAAGTTATTGTGGATGCAGCAGATCAGTTCCATTTTATGGCAAAGGATTTACTTGAGCTAATGGCACAAGCAATACCACCATCTCAGGCCCCGGAGCCTGGGGAGGGGGGTATGGATTTTTATTTATTTTGTGTGGATTAAGCCCCTCCCCCCCTATTTTCTTTTTTTTAACCCCTGTACAGATGGTGGCGGTAATGCACCATAAACATTGGATGCCAACCGCCTTTGAACCCCACAGAAGAAGTCTGCTGGAAAGCCACAGTAGAAGAACTGTCTCGCTTTCGGCTAGAAGTTTCGCTAACGTTAGCCATAAAGCTAGCTAGAACAACTTGTCAACATGTTTCGAAGAAAACTGACAGCTTTGGATTACCATAACCCCTCTGGGTTTGACTGTAAAGGTAGCTACAAAACCATGATAAACGAGCTATCTGCTAATGAATGATGTGCTCTTTCAGAGCCAGCCATGGCCATGCTCAAAATATGTTAGCTAGCATCTACCTTTAGCTAACAAGCTGTTACTCTGTCTTAAACGTTTCAATACAGCCACGCCTGGAATATGTATACATGCTTTGTTTATATTGGCTGGGTTTATGTCATTAAAAAGGATTAACCTGTGATTCGTGTTAGGTAGTCAGGTTTTGTACTTTTGTGCATTAGCCCAGGTAACGTTAGCTAATTAACTAGCTTTTGGGGAACTTACTAACAGCAGTGCCAAACAGGCAGTGGAGACCGATAACGTAACTAGCTAGCTAATGTTAGCTAACTAGCTAGCTAGGTTAGGGGTGGCATCGGAAATTGATTCCCAATCTATGCCTTGTTTGTATGTATTGTGACTAGTCGTATGTGAATTTCTGCCGGTTGTATATACCAACAACAACAAAAATCTACTACCACTGGCACATTTGTGCAGGTCAGTTAGCTTTGCAGAGTGCATCTAGCTATAAGTGTCACTTAGCAAATGTTCTGTTTTGCACAGATGAGACAGAGTTCAGGAATTTCATTGTGTGGCTGGAGGACCAGAAAATCAGACACTACAAAATTGAAGATCGGGGCAACCTGAGGAATATCCCCAGCTCGGAATGGCCCAAGTCCTTTGAGCAGGTGAGCAGCAAGGCTAGTTACAGTTACTATACTGGAAATAACCTTGGGTCAGAAAAAGTGTTGTGTTCATATTACATCCAAGTAATACGACATGGATTGTGAACTGTAGAAATACGTTTTGCGATGGATCTGTGTTCTTTCTTATTGGAGAAGTTTATGTAGGATCTCCATGTGTCATAATATTTTCTCCTTACTGAACCATGGTGGGGCTCTTTTCCCACTTTATCAACATATCTATTAACAATGTGTTCTTTCCACCCCTTCCCTAACCGTTTACATCATAAGCAAAACAATCAAGCCAGTTCAGTTGTCGAACGTTACAGATAGAAATGCCATTAATAGAACTGACATGATTAGTTCAAAGCGTCGGAGAGGCATGTTTGTTCTACATTAGCCTACATCTATCTGAATGTTCCAAAACGTTGTGTCCTGTTCAACATGCCCCAAGATCAATCAGTAGGCCTAATAATTATTAAATGCTGATAGTAAGCCAATTTACCACCCTCATCACTGGTCTCCATAGCTGTGATGCACTCTTCTTCATTGGAGAACCTCTATTGGGGTTGTGAAGTTACCATCCCCGTTCCCTGGCCGGGAAGCTCCCTTTGTCCTCGCATCCTCGTTTCCAATTTACATTTTTGAGAAAGAGGGGAGGACGGGATGAGGAAAGACTATTGAGACATAGCCCCTGTCAGCGCTTGTTTTAGTTTTTCCAGTGCAAAACATTTTGCTACGGTGTGGGCTGATGAATACACCCCTGGCCCCAAGCGCTCTGAAATAAAGAGCTACCCGGGGACAGCTAGTAACGACACCACTCCGATGGATGTGAACCATTGAAGAGGAGTGCATCACAGCTATGGTCTCAGGCACCTCGTATACACGGTACAACTGTTCAGGAGGGCACACTGGGGCAAGTTTTCTCCCTACGGAACATGAGCCTGACCCTGTTTCCTACGCAGTATCTTCAAGATGTGAATTGCCCATTCACCGTCGAAGAGAGACAGGAGTCAGTGGACTGGTTGCTGGGTCTAGCCGTTCGGTTGGAATATGGCGACAATGGTACAGTACTATTTTCTCTGTATATCTTTTGCTTTATTGAAAACATTTTTATAGCCATATGATTCGGTGCCCATTGTGTGTACTTGGGCTACTTGTTGTGGCAAATTACTACTTTGACTATTGTAGTCCATAGATGATAATACAGTAAATGTTCAACCAACCTTGTGTAGCAGGGGTATTCAACTCTTACCCTACGAGGTCAGGAGCCTGCTAGTTTTCTGTTCTACTTGATAATGAATTGCACCCACCTGGTGTTCCAGGTCTAAATCAGTCCCTGAAAAGTAAAAAAAATGTAGTGGAACTGGCTTCGAGGTCCAGAGTTGAGTTTGAGGGCTGTATTGTTGTGGTGGTGGTGATCATGTGTCGTTTAGCCACTAGATGGAAGCATTGTCTTAAATGGCAACTTTGACATCTTGGGCTGCTCTACCATAAGGTATAATCTAGTCGTGGTTCCACCCTCTCTTGCCATACACTGTATTGTCATTGTTCAGGAATGTTAAATAAATGTGCTTATTAAAAAAGTATTTGTTGTAAAAACAGTTTGGTGGTGGTAGTAGTATGTAGTTAGTGGGGGGCATGGACTAAGTGGTCACTGTCTGGATTTTTGTGTCCTCCCGAGTGGCGCAGTGGTCTAAGGCACTGTATCGCAGTGCTAGCTGTGCCACTAGAGATCCTGGTTCGAATCCAGGCTCTGTCATAGCCGGCCGCGACCGGGAGACCCATGGGGCGGCACACAATTGGCCCAGCGTCGTCCAGGGTAGGGGAGGGAATGGCCGGCAGGGATGTAGCTCAGTTGGTAGAGCATGGCGTTTGCAACACCAGGGTTGTGGGTTCGATTCCCACGGGGGGCCAGTATGAAAAATAAAAAATAATGTATGCACTCACTAACTAAGATAAGAGCGTCTGCTAAATGACTAAAATGTAAATGTAATGTTGTGTGTCTTACTGGCTCCCCAGTTGAGAAGTACAAGAATTGCCAGCCAGCCACAGCCACCAAGGCGGAGAAACCCTCGGATCCCCTCATCCATCTGGACAGTGAGCACAACCACTCCTTCCTCTAAATGCCTATCCCCTCTCTCCCCTTACCTCTCTAGTCTCTCCCCTTACCTCTCTACTCTGTCCCCTTACCTCTCTAGTCTCTCCCCTTACCTCTCTACTCTCTCCCCTTACCTCTCTACTCTCTCCCCTTACCTCTCTAGTCTCTCCCCTTACCTCTCTAGTCTGTCCCCTTACCTCTCTAGTCTCTCCCCTTACCTCTCTAGTCTGTCCCCTTACCTCTCTAGTCTCTCCCCTTACCTCTCTACTCTGTCCCCTTACCTCTCTAGTCTCTCCCCTTACCTCTCTAGTCTCTTCTCCCCAACCTCTCAGCTGTTCCCTACCTTCGAGTTTTCCCAAACCTTACCTCTCTAACTCTGTCCCCTTACCTCTCTAGTTCTCCTACCCCTCTGATTCTCCCCTTACCTCTCTAGTCTCTCTCATCCTCTCTAGTCTCTCCCCTTACCTTTTAGTCTCTCCCTTACTCTCTATCTTTTCCCCTTACCTCTCTAGTCTCTCCCCTTACTCTCTAGTCTCTCCCAACTCTTAGTCTCTCCCCTTACTCTCTACTCTGCCCCTTACCTCTCTAGTCGCTAATCACTCTCTTATTCTCTCCCTTACCTCTCTAGTCTCATCCCACCTTACCTCTCTAGTCTCTCCCCTTACTCTCTACTCTTCCCCTTACCTCTCTAGTCCTACCTACACTCTAGCTCTACCCTTTAACCTCTTAACTACTCTGTCCCCTTACCTCTCATAGTCTCTCTCATCCCTCTAGTCTCTCATCCCCTTACCTCTCAGTCTCATCCCCTTACTCTCTAGTCTCTCCCCTTACCTCTCTAGTCTCTCCCCTTACCTCTCTACTCTCCCCTTACCTCTCTAGTCTGTCCCCTTACCTCTCTAGTCTGTCCCCTTACCTCTCTAGTCTCTCCCCTTACCTCTCTAGTCTCTCCCCTTACCTCTCTACTCTCTCCCCTTACCTCTCTAGTCTCTCCCTTACCTCTCTAGTCTCTCCCCTTACCTCTCTAGTCTCTCCCCTTACCTCTCTAGTCTCTCCCTTACCCTCTACGTCTCTCCCCCTTACCGCTCTAGTCTTCCCCTTACCTCTCTATCTTCCCACTTACCTCTCTACTCTTCCCTACCTCTCTAGTCTCTCCCCTTACCTCTCTAGTCTCTCCCCTTACCTCTCTAGTCTCTCCCCTTACCTCTCTAGTCTCTCCCCTTACCTCTCTAGTCTCTCCCCTTACCTCTCTACTCTGTCCCCTTACCTCTCTACTCTGTCCCCTTACCTCTCTAGTCTCTCCCTTACCCTCTCTACTCTGTCCCTTACCTCTCTACTCTGTCCCCTTACTCTCTAGTCTCTCCCTTACCTCTCTAGTCTGTCCCCTTACCTCTCTAGTCCTCCCCTTACCTCTTCTATGTCTCTCCCCTTACTCTCTCTTACTCTGTCCCCTTACCTCTCTAGTCTCTCCCCTTACCTCTCTACTCTGTCCCCTTACCTCTCTAGTCTCTCCTCCCCTTACCTCTCTAGTCCTCTCTCCCCTTACCTCTTCTAGCCTCTCCCTTACCCCTCTCTATTCTCTCCCCTTACCTCTCTAGTCTGTCCCTTACCTCTCTATCTCTGTCCCCTTACCCTCTCTAGTCTCTCTCTCCCCTTACCTCTCTAGTCTTTTCCCCTACCTCTCTACTCTGTCCCTCTAGTCTCCCCTTACCTCTCTAGTCTCTCCCTTACCTCTCTACTCTCCTTACCTCTCTACTCTGTCCCCTTACCTCTCTAGTCTCTCCCTTACCTCTCTACTCTGTCCCCTTACCTCTCTAGTCTGTCCCTATTGACCTCTTCTAGTCTCTCCCTCTACTCTTCTCTACTCTGTCCCCTTACCTCTTATAGTCTCTCCCTTACCTCTAGTCTCACCCTTACCTCTCTAGTCTCTCCTCTCTGCTCCCCTTACCTCTCTAGTCTTCCCCTTACCTCTCTACTCTGTCCCTTACCTCTCTAGTCTCTCCCTACCCTTACCTCTCTACTCTGTCCCCTACCTCTCTAGTCTCTCCCCTTACCTCTACTCTTACTCTCTAGTGTCCCCTTACCTCTCTAGTCTTCTACCCCTTACTCTCTCTAGTCTCTCCCCTTACCTCTCTAGTCTCTCCCCTTACCTCTCTACTCTGTCCCCTTACCTCTCTAGTCTCTCTCATCCTCTCTAATCATCTCTCTCATCACTCCCTTCTCTGTCCCTGATGTTCTGTGATAGAATCGTTTGATTAAAGAAACCAGTGAACAACGTAGTACTAAAGTAGGTTAGCTCAACCGTGTCTGGGCAAGACCACCAGACTGATTACAATCTCACACACACACACACACACAGAATCGCACCAACGGGGACAGTTGTGACTAGCTGACTTCATGAATGTAACTGAGTCAACAGCCTCCATGTTGTGTTGAAAATAAGTGTGTGTGTGTGTGCTCCTTAAGGCAGCAACCCAGACTTTAAGGCTGGCGTCATAGGCCTGGCTAGCCTGCTGAAGATCCAACGTCACGACGACTACCTGGTCATGCTGAAGGTGAGAACCAGCGGCAACCGAGCACCATGTCAGACGTACTAATATCCTTTTCACACTACTGAGCCAAGCTGTGCCGAGCTGTAGTGTGATGACCTGGTTACACACCCACTATATTTACTGGAACCGTGCTGGAAAGGACAATGTGAAAATAAAGTTTCTGAGACAGTACAGTTCAGATCGGCGCTTTACTGTGAAAAGGGTCTTACTAATTTCTTATGACCATGTTGTAAATTGTGGTCCTCTGTAGCTCAGCTGGTAGAGCACGGCGCTTGTAACGCCAAGGTAGTGGGTTCGATCCCCGGGACCACCCATACACAAAAAAAAAAAAATGAATGCACGCATGACTGTAAGTCGCTTTGGATAAAAGCGTCTGCTAAATGGCATATTATTATTATTATTATAATGACGACCCTGTGCAGATTTCAGACTTGAGCAGATTTGATAACAATGGTGTGGTAATTTCCCTTGTCTAACAGGCTATAAGGATCCTTATCCAAGAGAGGCTGACCCCAGAAGCCATAGCCAAGGCCAGCCAGTCCAAAGAGGTGAGCTACTCTTGAAGGTTGAGTCTTTGACTGACGGAGATCCACCTACACATTTAGGCTTCATCAAAATGCGTTGTTTTGAAATGTGATCAGAAAGAGTACCCACAATACTTCAGACATTGGTCCAAACTGTATTTGTTTTCTTCCAAATACTTTTTGCGTTGAATTGAGCCTGCCTGGTGTGCCAGATGGACAGGTTTTGCACTGGGAAAGCTCAATTAAGCGCAGTGTATTTGAAAAAAACCGAATGCAATGTGTACCCAAGTCGACATACCTCTATTCTCTCAATCTGACATGATAATACACGGGAACTCTCAGCACACATTACTGCTCAGGGGCCGTATGTATCAAGCATCTCAGAGTACTGATTCAGGATCAGTTTAGCTTTTTAAATCACAATGAAAAGGATCGGACGTGGACCTGATGCTAAATCAGCACTCCTACTCTGAGATGCATGATACATACGGCCCCAGAGTGTGATATGTAAGGCCTGTGTGCAGTGGTCTGGGAGTCGTCTCCGTGGCTATGCTATTTTAAGAGGCCGGACATACAGTATTTCGGCACTTACTGTGTCCCGATTGCCTTTTAATTGCTGTGATGTATCTCTTTCTGTTTTTGCCTCGTCTCCTCAAGGGTCTACCTGTGGCCTTGGACAAGCACATCCTCGGCTTTGATACCGGAGGTGAGTGCTCGCAGTCGAGTTTTTAAAGTACCAATACACACAGGGCACATTTAAAAAAGGGACTGTGTTATCCTTAGTATCCTCACAAAGGGATTTTGTCCCTAAAATTACATTTTGAAACACTTAATTCTCCCATGTTCTTGTGCCCAAGACAATTATAATCATCTAAATGGGCTCCAAACATTCTGTCCTATTGATATGATAGACATGGCATTTATCTTCACTGTACTGTAGGATTGCGTGGGAGGGTAGGGCCGTCCCATTGTGTCAAGATCTGTTCCAGATCAGTTGGTGAAAAGGCATTGAACGTGTCATTGTGGAGACTAGTGTAATTTCCCCGCAAACCACTTTGTTTGAAGTGGCCTGTCATGTCAACCTAATATCAGGCTATGTCAGGGCAGGGGTTGTGCCTACTTGCAGGGAAGGATGTATGTAAGTGTTTTGATGGATCACTACAAATATAGCTTTATTAACCCCCTTATTTGGGTAGAATACATCATAGGGAAAACAAAAGCACAATTACATGCATCCTACTTCATACACGTGGTCCTTTATTCATACAAGAATTGAACTGTGGCCTCAGTTGCTGATCACCGACTGAGCATAATCTCTTATTCTGGAACACGGCCCCTAACGGCGTGCACCTCCTTTCTCTGCAGACGCCACCCTGAACGAGGCGGCTCAGATCCTACGTCTGCTCCACATTGAGGAGCTACGGGATCTGCAGACCCGGATCAACGAGGCCATCGTAGCCGTCCAGGCCATCATCGCAGACCCCAAGACAGACCACCGCCTGGGCAAGGTCGGCAGATGACCTGGCCTGCCTGACCCCTTGACCTCTGCCTTTAACCCCCAACACACACGGTCTGTGGAAAAGCAGTACCACACAAACTATACATGGATATTGGTCCAAGATCCTGTCCTTATTTTATTTTAGCCACCCAACAACTAGGACTAAGCCTTTGTGAGTTTCATAGTTTTTCTTTTTTATGGATTTGGAAGGTTGGAATGAAATGGACTAGTTTTTTTGGTTTGGAGAAAGAAATGCATTTTCGTGGAATGAGTGTTGGAATGAAAATGTATGAAATACATTGGGGGGAAAAAGAAAAACTTTGTGGTTTGTTTGTGTTCATAAGAAATGGGAAGTGCTATCAGATTATGTGCTGAAATTACCCTTGAGTTGGAGAACGTGTTTTATTTATTTTGCTGGGTTTGGGCCAAACCCAAAGATGGAATGAGAGAGAGAACAGGTCAGGAAAGTCCTGAATCACATTTTATTGTTATAAATATCACATCTTAGAAAAGATAAAGGATTAAAAAAGAATTGTGGTAGAACAAATATTTGGCAATTCCATGTGGTGAAATACAAAATTATTAGTGCACAGAATACTCCAATACTGCATTGCTGTGTGTTCATTCAATACACATGAACATAACAGGACTTGTGGCTCAAAGATCTTTTATTTTTATCTCTTTGGCTTTCTATTAAAAAAACTCACATACAGTAGAAAGTTTAAAATGCGGTATAAAACAAATTGACAACTTTATTTGCGGGGGGAGGGAAGTCATGGTTGCCGTTTGTAAATTTACTCTGGTGGTGGTTGGTGAAATCTTTGCTCTGTCGCAAGTGTCCTTCATTCGCCGCCTCTGTAGAAGTCTACGACAGAAGGGTTCTCACAGGGGCAAACACTTCAAGACTCGCCCGATATAACACCATAAAACGATCCTCTATCATTAGTGTCTCCCTGCAACAGAACTACATTAGGTCGCAGGACAGTGGACATCCTTGATAACTATACCACACTCCGCTATCATCAGTCACAGAACAAACATTACTTTCCAAATGTGTTATTTTTTTACCTCTGTAAATACCAGGGGAGAATGACTGCCCCCTCTCATTGAAGCCACCGAAGTTCAAGGCCGACTGCAGGCATTGTTAGCATAAAACAGGATCTCCATTTTCATGAATAGAAAAATGGCAATCTTCGTGTAAAAAAAAAAAAAAGAATAATCAAGGACAATCATGGTATCAATAATTGCTTCTAATACACAAGATGTATGTCCTTGAATCGATTATTTAAAAAAATCGCACACAGAGGATAATTTAGTTGCTACTGGCAGCCTGCAGTACCCCAGTCAACCTTCAACTTGAGTTACTCAATGAGATGAGGCAGCACTGAGCTAGCCTGCAACGTCATTTCCTGGAGTTGCTCAAACTGCGCATGTCTCCTTGAGACGCAATCTTAACCGACTGCATTTGTCTTCAATGCGCTATTGAGTCTTCACATAGGAATGAATGGTACCACATGATCAATGGCTTTGTCCATTCATATAATGCAAGACTGAACTCATAGGGCTCTATGGCTTTGAAGTGCTTTGATGTCTCTGCAAAGACTGGTCCCATTTCGTCACATGGGTCTGAAGTACTGTGATTCGGCAGCAGTTGACTTCTACTTTTCCCCTTGAGGAACTTGCTAGTTGACAGGTTCTGTGCCAAGGCTCTTTGTACAGCCGACGGTCATTTGGCTTCTTTTTTTGTTTGTTGCAGGTGTCCTCTCTGATACCGTCACATCAAAACTAAGTATGGCCCCCAGTAGAGTGCATTCGGTAAGTATTCAGACCCCTTGATTTTTTCCACATTGTTACGTTACAGCCTTATTCTAAAATTGATAAAATCGTTTTTTATTTCATTATCAATCTACACACAATACCCCATAATGACAAAGCAAAAACCGGTTTTTAGAAATGTTTGCACATGTATGAAAAATAAACTGAAATCACATTTACATAAGTATTCAGACCCTTTACTCAGTACTTTGTTGAAGCACCTTTGGCAGCGATTACAGCCTTGAGTCTTCTTAGTTATGACGCTACAAGCTTGGCACACCTGTATTTAGGGAGTTTCTACCATTCTTTTCAGATCCTCTCAAGCTCTGTCAGGTTGGATGGGGAGCATCGCTGTACAGCTATTTTCAGGTCTCTCCAGAGATGTTAGATCGGGTTCAGGTCCGAGCTCTGGCTGCGCCACTCAAGAACATTCAGAGACTTATCCCGAAGCCACCCCTGCGTTTTCTTGGCTGTGTGCTTAGGGTCGTTGTCCTGTTGGAAGGTGAACCTTCGCCCCAGTCTGACGTCCTGAGTGCTCTGGAGCAGGTCATCAAAGATCTCTCTGTACTTAACTCTGTTAATCTTTCCCTCGATCCTGACTAGTCTCCCAGTCCCTGCCGCTGAAAAACATCCCCACAGCATGATGCTGCTACCACCATGCTTCACCGTAGTTTCCTCCAGATGTGACGCTTGGCATTCAGGCCAAAGAGTTCAATCTTTGTTTCATCAGACCAGAGAATCTTGTTTCTCATGGTCTGAGAGTCCTTTAGGTGCCTTTTGGCAAACTCCAAGCGTTCCTTTTACTGAGGAGTGGCTTTATGGTAGGAGTGGCCACTCTACCATAAAGGCCTGATTGATGGAGTGCTGCAGAAATGGTTGTCCTTCTGGAAGGTTCTCCAATCTCCACAGACGAACTCTGGAGCTCTGTCAGTGACCATTGGGTTCTTGGTCACTTCCCTGACCAAGGCCCTTCTCCCCTGATTGCTCAGTTTGGCCTGGTGGCCAGCTCTAGGAAGAGTCTTGGTGGTTCCAAATGTATTCCATTTAAGAATGATGGAGGCCACTGTGTTCTTGGGGACCTTCAATGCTGCAGAACTTTTTTGGTACCCTTCCCCAGATCTGTGCCTCAACACAATCCTGTCTCTGCGCTCTACGAACAATTCCTTTGACCTCATGGCCTTGTTTTTGCTCTGACATGCACTGTCAACTGTGGGACCTTATATAGACAGGTGTGTGCCTTTCCAAATCATGTCCAATCAATTGAATATACCACAGGTGGACTCCAATCAAGTTGTAGAAACATCTCAAGGATGTAACAGGATGCACCTGAGCTCAATTTCGAGTCTCATAGCAAAGGGTCTGGGTATTTTTATTTAAATAAATGTGCAAAAATTTTGACAAACCTGTTTTCTTTTTGTCAAATGGGGTATTGTGTGTAGATTTAGATGTTTTTTCCAATCCATTTTAGAATAAGGTAACTAAATGTGTAAAAAGGGAATGGGTCTGAATACTTTCCGAATGCACTGTATTGAGGCTCCGTGCTTCCTCACAAGCTAAATCTGCAAAAGAAAATAGCGTTTCAGGCTACACAGACTGCTTTTATCCTATATAACACACAAAAGGCATAATAAGCCATACAGGGCGGCAGGTAGCTTAGTGGTTAAGAGCGTTGTGCCAGTAACCGAAAGGTTGCTGGTTCTAATCCCCGAGCCGACTAGGTGAAAAATCTGTCGATGTGCCCTTGAGCAAGGCACTTAACCCTAATTGCTCATGTAAGTCGCTCTGGAAAAGCGAGCGTCTGCTAGATTACTAAAATGTAAATGTAAAATGTATTTCCACCCACTGTGTAAAACCACTGGCGACAGTGAATGCTATTGCTAAGGGTAATATTGACGGCATTCCAGGTTGTCTTTTTTTGCAGGCGCGCTGAACAGATGATTATATTATTATTATTATGATTAGATCTCACAACATTTAAGGAAGTGTCTTGTTACCAATTCATATGATATAGCAAAAACGACAACCTGGCAAGTCACCAATCACGATACAAGATTTGTTTGTGAGCCCACATAATGTTTCTGTAGCGTGAGGCAGCTTGATGTACAAGTTCACCCCCTGGACAGGACGCTAGAAAGATGTACAGTATTACCTTATAGACAGTGGGTGGTTGCTATGGTGACGCCGTACAGGTGAGACCTCTGGTCTGGTAGGTACTCGTCTGTGAACTGGCTGCTGTCCCGACTCAGAGCAATGACTCCGTCCCTACAAACACCATAGAGAAAAAAAAATAATAACAATCAACTCCCATCACACTGAACATAAAAAACACAACTTTAAACACAATTTACGGGTTTTGCACTTTTGGGACTATTCCGTTGGTTCCGTTGCACCCAGCGACCTCAATCAAGTGCAGCTTAAGTATTTTACAGAAAATGAATTCTATTTGAAACCAATCCCTGTCTTACCTCCTCCAGTCTGTGAAGTAGAAGTGGTTGGCATAGAACACCATACTGAAGGGGTAGTTCAGGTTGCTGTGGATCACCCTTCTACCCGTCCCATCAGATGCAATGCACTCCAAACGCTTGGTCCCTGAGAGAGAGAAAGTGTGTGAGAGCGAAAGAGGGTAGAAGGAGAGAAGAGATGGGGGAGAGAGGGTAAGGGAGAGATTTTATAGGTTTCATTAGGTTGATAACAGTATAAGTTCCTTTCTTAGTATATAGAGTAGTATCCAGACTATATGCATCTGAACTGTGTACCACTTATTTGACTCTGCTCCAGAACAATTTGGCCCCATCCCTACTTACAGTACTGAGAAGTGACAGCAGCACGGTTTTCGAATAGCTTAGCATACTTTTAATAGCTTACTATTTTAGTATCATGAAATTGTCATTATTATAGTATATGTACAGCTCAACTTCATAATGAGAATAGAAAAACATAAAAACTGTAGGATACATAGAGAGAGACTTGGATCACAGAGACTTAGCAACTTCAGCCTCAAAAGAGCTAATGAAAATGCCCCTGATCTGTTTAGCATTTTTCCCTTATGATGAAGGTGAGGATTTGGGGAGAGTAAGCTGGTTGTATTTATATGCCTTCACTAGGGCTGTTGCGGTGACCATTTTACCGCCACACCGGTGGTCACAAGTCATGAAGGCAGTCAAATTCCACGTGACCATTTAGTCACGGTAATTAGGCTTCTCCAAGCTCTGATGCTGCTGATGGTCATTAGTAGCCTACCATACTTGCTAACTGCCTGGTACTCAGCACTCTATTGTCCCTCTAATCACTCTGACATCAATGCAAATGTTTTCGAAAATCTAATCAAACATTTCACGAGAGCCCATGTGCTCATGTTGCGCAACATTTCAATCGGCTATACAATTGCGCGAGAAAACAGTGATGGCCTTTACTGAAAAGAGGAGGATCAGCATTCTATAGGCTAGGCCTACTGTATTTATTTTTCAACTTTCCTAATATTAAGCACATTGCTTATATTTACAACAGGAGTATAGCATACCTGGCTGGCATGAAAATAAACCAAGGGGAAAACCGTCCTCCATTCGCTATTTACAGTGGGGAAAAAAAGTATTTAGTCAGCCACCAATTGTGCAAGTTCTCCCACTTAAAAAGATGAGAGAGGCCTGTAATTTTCATCATAGGTACACGTCAACTATGACAGACAAAATGAGAAAATAAAATCCAGAAAATCACATTGTAGGATTTTTAATAAATGTATTTGCAAATTATGGTGGAAAATAAGTATTTGGTCAATAACAAAAGTTTCTCAATACTTTGTTATATACCCTTTGTTGGCAATGACACAGGTCAAACGTTTTCTGTAAGTCTTCACAAGGTTTTCACACACTGTTGCTGGTATTTTGGCCCATTCCTCCATGCAGATCTCCTCTAGAGCAGTGATGTTTTTGGGCTGTCGCTGGGCAACACAGACTTTCAACTCCCTCCAAAGATTTTCTATGGGGTTGAGATCTGGAGACTGGCTAGGCCACTCCAGGACCTTGAAATGCTTCTTACGAAGCCACTCCTTCGTTGCCCGGGCGGTGTGTTTGGGATCATTGTCATGCTGAAAGACCCAGCCACGTTTCATCTTCAATATCCTTGCTGATGGAAGGAGGTTTTCACTGAAAATCTCACGATACATGGCCCCATTCATTCTTTCCTTTACACGGATCAGTCGTCCTGGTCCCTTTGCAGAAAAACAGCCCCAAAGCATGATGTTTCCACCCCCATGCTTCACAGTAGGTATGGTGTTCTTTGGATGCAACTCAGCATTCTTTGTCCTCCAAACACGACGAGTTGAGTTTTTACCAAAAAGTTCTATTTTGGTTTCATCTGACCATATGACATTCTCCCAATCCTCTTCTGGATCATCCAAATGCACTCTAGCAAACTTCAGACGGGCCTGGACATGTACTGGCTTACAGTTTTTCTCAGTCGCTTTGGTGCATTTTTCACATCATCCCTAACATGTGCAAAATAATAAGTGCATTTCTCAGAACAATTTGTACAAACTGCAATATACAATAGATATGTTTCTAAAGCTAGTCAGTCACTAAAAATCCTTAGTACATCTCTCAAAAGTAAATATTCATGCCAATGATCATGTCAGTGTCATCAGAATGATAAGTCATTGAGTCATTGTTCACGAACAAGGTTGTCAAAATGTTTAGGCATGTTGTCAATGGAATGGAACTGTGTACTTTGACAGTATTACCTGATGTAAACTTAGGCTACAGTTTGGATGACAGTTACTGTATTGAAAATGCACAAGGCTGCACTTCTATGGCATATATCAATTTCAACAGTACTATTTACATATTACTTTATGTGGGTTATTGATTGAAAGAGACTGGACAACCCAAGGGGCACAAAGGAAAAAAAACTAAATTAGAAAGAAACACAGGAAACCACCCCTAAGGCACAACTTTGCCCACAGCACTGTTCTAGTGCTGTCTCTACACATCCAGACGTTCCTGTCTGTCAGCCCACATATTCTCATCCACATCACACCGGATATTTTCCCTTCCAATGCAACGTGGAAAGAATCTTTTGGAATGCCTTATCCATCCTCTGCAGGCGTCTACTGTGGTGTCCTCACATGCTGCATCCATTGCAGCCAGCAGGGTCATCTGTGTGTGTGGCTGACGATCGTACACCTTCCACCTCCAGGCTGAAAAGAACTCCTCAATTGGGTTAAGGAATGGTGAATAAGGTGGGAGGAATTCTATGAGCATCCTCGGGTGGGTCACAAACCATTGCCTTATGATATTTGATCGATGGAAACTCACATTATCACAAATGACCACATACTTTGGCAAATCCTCTCTAAACAGACCCCTCTCATCATCAGGGATGAGAGCCCTGTAGAGAGTCTCTAAAAAGTTGAGTAGATGCTGGGTGTTGTATGGCCCTAAAAGGGGGATATGGGTTAGGACACCATGCTCCGAAATAGCAGCACACATGGTGATATTTCCTCCCCGTTGGCCTGGCAAATCCACAGTAGCTCTGTGACCGATGATATTCCGACCCCGCCTTCTGCATTTGGTCAGGTTGAAGCCAGCCTCATCCACGTATACAAAGTTGTGAGAGGGTTCACTTGATTCCAACTCCATTATACGCTATATCCCAGAACACACAGTTGAATTTGTTTTGGTAAGGAAGAGTGACATAAAATGTACATATATTGCATGTTCCTTCCACAGCAATGGAAATGTGTGCAGTTTATGCTTACTGTACTATGTAACACTATAAAATGTTGCTGTAAAGTAGTTACATAGATATATGTTTTACCTGTACATACTGGTACCGTAGCTCCTTAACTCTGTCCTCATTCCTTTGGAATGGTACACGGTACAGCTGTTTCATACTCATCTGGTTTCTATGCAGCACCCTGTCGATGGTTGAGATGCTAACCGTATGGATGTTTTCAAAGACATCGTTGTCTTCTATAATGGTCCTTTGTATTTCCCTGAGTCTCATGGCATTGTTTGCTCGGACCATGGTGCAAATAGCCTCCTCCTGTTGAGGTGTGAAAAGGCGTCCTCTGCCACCGGTTTGAGGTAATCTTGCAGTCCTATGTGTGGAAAAATGCAGTGATGCATCGCACACTTTCACATAGACAAAAACTATGCGAACACACATTTTACTGTAAAACATACAGGTGGGTGCATGTAAGGTGCAGTATGTATCTGTATAGAGTATATTTCTGTATGCTGTGAAATACAAGTGGACTACTGTAATATGAAGCATTGTAGGAAGTATACAGTATACTGCTTATATACAGTAACAGTGCACTGTACATTGGTGGACATACCTGTTCTCTCCTCGAAACGTTTGTACTATTGAGGACACGGTTGATCTCCCAATATTCGGCTGCACCCTTCGACCCGCCTCAGCCATTGTAAGGCCATGATTGACAACATGGTCTACAATAGTGGCCCTTATGTCATCAGATATGCGCCTATGTCCTCTTCTGCCTCTTCCTCTGTTTTGCCTTCCACCACGCATCCTTGCTCCTCTTCTTCCTCCTCTTGGCTGTTGACCCTGTTCGTTTCCTGGTCCATCCATTATTGGAAAATTGCAACTGTGTTGTGGTCTGTCTATATATGCTTGCCAATTGATTCTTCATGAGATGCACCTTTGAGCAATTTAGACAACTGGTTGATTGTTGGTTGAACTAACACTTTACATTCCTTCATGAGTGAGGGTTAATTTCACCTGCACGATTCAGCAATTTACGTTTTTGTACAAAAGGTCTAATAGAAATGTGTAAAACTATGCTTGACAGTTTATGACAAATAGTTCAACAATTTTGCATGTAATGGCTTATGCAAGGAACTAATGCCTAGATGTTTTGAGGGGTAAGACTATTCAACAGAGAACCATCTACTATATTTTGATCAACATGACATGAGCAATTGAAAATGTGGAAAAAAGCTGACACTTGTACATTATCAATTGCAATATGTACAAAAGCAATTGCAATTTGTTCAAAGGAATAAGAAATTGCTTTAATGATGTGCACAAGTGACTAGATGATTTGGAATTTGTACAAGTAGTATCAAGAATTGCACTTTTGATCTAAAAAATGCACCAAAGCGACTGAGAAAAACTAAGCAGGGGGACACGTCTGGCACTGCAGGATTTGAGTCCCTGGCGGCGTAGTGTGTTACTGATGGTAGACTTTGTTACTTTGGTCCCAGCTCTCTGAAGGTCATTCACTAGGTCCCCCCGTGTGGTTCTGGGATTTTTGCTCACCGTTCTTGTGATCATTTTGACCCCACGGGGTGAGATCTTGTGTGGAGCCGCAGATCGAGGGCGATTATCAGTGGTCTTGTATGTCTTCCATTTCCTAATAATTGCTCCCACAGTTGATTTCTTCAAACCAAGCTGCTTACCTATTGCAGATTCAGTCAACCCAGCTTGGTGCAGGTCTACAATTTTGTTTCTGGTGTCCTTTGACAGCTCTTTGGTCTTGGCCATAGTGGAGTTTGGAGTGTGACTGTTTGAGGTTGTGGACAGGTGTCTTTTATACTGATAACAAGTTCAAACAGGTGCCATTAATACAGGTAACGAGTGGAGGACAGAGGAGCCTCTTAAAGAAGAAGTTACAGGTCTGTGAGAGCCAGAAATCTTGCTTGTTTGTAGGTGACCAAATACTTATTTTCCACCACAATTTGCAAATAAATTCATTAAAAATCCTACAATGTGATTTTCTGGATTTTCTTTCTCTCAATTTGTCTGTCATAGTTGACGTGCACCTATGATGAAAATTACAGGCCTCTCATCTTTTTAAGTGGGAGAACTTGCACAATTGGTGGCTGACTAAATACTTTTTTCCCCCACTGTAAGTGCATAGATTAAATGTATTTTTTCCCGCTGCCCCTGTTTCGATACAGGTGCATCATAATGGTCCATTCTAAATCAAAACAAATTTCACACATTATTTAGTATATGTAACGACAAGATAAAATCAAGAATAGTCTGATGGATGACAATATTAGCCTATCACTTATGAATTATATATTATCACTTGTGAATGATGCCCATCACAAGAAACAATCATAGTAGCCTAGGCCATAGGCCTATATGTTTTAATAAGGTTTGTATCATAACTAAAGTGGCCAAATAACTTCTTAAAATTAAGCACCTTAATCCGCTTTACAAGGGGTGTAGAGCCTAACTGGCATATATAAGCAGCGTGTGAGTTTCACGTTTGGGGAAGATAATTTTCACCATAAAAAAGCACCTTTATAATAAAAGCATTACATGCATAATTGCATTTGCTGTCCCTTTTGATAATGGTGTTTTCCGCATATGGAACATTCGCACTTATAGCCTACTACCATGTGCGTATTGCTGCGCTTATAATGTGAAGAAATAGCCTAATAGTTTATCAACATTTTAAGCTAAACGTTCTGATCTGTTGCGTCAGCCACATTGCGTAAAAACGTTGTATTAATTTGGGATCAATCGCATCCCACAACTGTCCCAGACTATGTTTGGAATATTTATTTATCGCAGGTCGACCTTTGTACTATGGGGGATAGTAGATTGACATAGGCTTGTGCTTTTGCTGTTCGTTAGGCCTACTCATCTTGTTGGCTGACGAAAAGTAAATGTGGACAGTTCTTCCAATATCTTCAATATGCACCTCGGAATTGGATAAGGATGCGCACAGTTGCGTCCCCAAAGTGTCTCTTCACTTGTAGCCTGTGACAAAGACCCTATCATGTGAGGGAGAGCCATGTGAGTGAGAGATGCTTCTGAGCACGCAGCACTCACGGAGAAGGGAACAACGGCCACTGGCCGCAAAAGGCATGGATTTCTTTAGGGTGCATTACGGCCACAAAAAGGGAATGCCGCTAGGAAATTCGAGGCATTATCAAGTGCTTGTCAAATTGTGAATGAGAGACTGATAAAGTGTGTACAGCCTGCGCAAAAAACTAAGCAGAGCTCATGCCTTTCAAACAACTTTTTTTAAATCATTAGTCGCATCATGCAGCTTTACAATGTATTAAAAATCAAAACATATAGCCCAACGTTTGTAGAATAACTAAAGTTACATTAATAACTCTAAATTAAGCATATAGGAATACCTATTTCTTTGTTAACCACTCAACACAGAATTGTGCGCACTCCCTCAAATCATTTGGAGAAAATATCCTTTCTATTTTATTCAGCTTTGTTCAATTGCTCAAAAAAATAAAGGGAACACTTAAACAACACAATGTAACTCCAAGTCAATCACACTTCTGTGAAATCAAACTGTCCACTTAGGAAGCAACACTGATTGACAATAAATGTCACATGCTGTTGTGCAAATGGTACAGACAACAGGTGGAAATTATAGGCAATTAGCAAGACACCCCCAATAAAGAAGTGGTTCTGCAGGTGGTGACCACAGACCACTTCTCAGTTCCTATGCTTCCTGGCTGATGTTTTGGTCACTTTTGAATGCTGGCGGTGCTTTCACTCTAGTGGTAGCATGAGACGGAGTCTACAACCCACACAAGTGGCTCAGGTAGTGCAAGAAGGTTTGCTGTGTCTGTCAGCGTAGTGTCCAGAGCATGGAGGCGCTACCAGGAGACAGGCCAGTACATCAGGAGACGTGGAGGAGGCCGTAGGAGGGCAACAACCCAGCAGCAGGACTGCTACCTCCGCCTTTGTGCAAGGAGGAGCACTGCCAGAGCCCTGCAAAATGACCTCCAGCAGGCCACAAATGTGCATGTGTCTACTCAAACGGTCAGAAACAGACTCCATGAGGGTGGTATGAGGGCCCGACGTCCACAGGTGGGGGTTGTGCTTACAGCCCAACACCGTGCAGGACGTTTGTCATTTGCCAGAGAACACCAAGATTGGCAAATTCGCCACTGGCGCCCTGTGCTCTTCACAGATGAAAGCAGGTTCACACTGAGCATATGTGACAGAGTCTGGAGACGCCGTGGAGAACGTTCTGCTGCCTGCAACATCCTCCAGCATGACCGGTTTGGCGGTGGGTCAGTCATGGTGTGGGGTGGCATTTCTTTGGGGGGCCGCACAGCCCTCCATGTGCTCGCCAGAGGTAGCCTGACTGCCATTAGGTACCGAGATGAGATCCTCAGACCCCTTGTGAGACCATATGCTGGTGCGGTTGGCCCTGGGTTCCTCCTAATGCAAGACAATGCTAGACCTCATGTGGCTGGAGTGTGTCAGCAGTTCCTGCAAGAGGAAGGCATTGATGCTATGGACTGGCCCGCCCGTTCCCCAGACCTGAATCCAATTGAGCACATCTGGGACATCATGTCTCGCTCCATCCACCAACGCCACGTTGCACCACAGACTGTCCAGGAGTTGGCGGATGCTTTAGTCCAGGTCTGGGAGGAGATCCCTCAGGAGACCATCCGCCACCTCATCAGGAGTATGCCCAGGCGTTGTAGGGAGGTCATACAGGCACGTGGAGGCCACACACACTACTGAGCCTCATTTTGACTTGATTTAAGGACATTACATCAAAGTTGGATCAGCCTGTAGTGTGGTTTTCCACTTTAATTTTGAGGGTGACTCCAAATCCAGACCTCTATGGGTTGATACATTTGATTTCCATTGATCATTTTTGTGTGATGTTGTTGTCAGCACATTCAACTATGTAAAGAAAAAAGTATTTAATAAGATTATTTCATTCATTCAGATCTAGGATGTGTTGTTTAAGTGTTCCCTTTATTTTTTGAGCAGTGTAGTAGTCAGTAAGCTGTGAAGGTGATTCTGTGGTAACTGTGGATGAAAAGTCTGTGTTAACTGTGTTGGTAGCAGGGTTGGGGTCAATTCAAATGTAATTTGAAATTCCAATAAAATTATTGAATTCACTCATGAATAATTTATTTTGAATTCAATTCGAATTTCAACAATCTTCAAGTTATGGAATTGAAATTGAATGGGAATTAGACTTATTGGACTGTTTGAATTGGAATTGTAAAAACATTTAATATTTGGAATTGAATTGAATATTTGTACATTTCCCAGTTAATGGAATTAATGCACCTAGTATCACAAATTAACTGCAGGATTTGTTTTAAATCATTTCTATATTTCCAGTATAGCTAGGCTGTCTAAACAGTGACATGATCAGCCTAGGAATTTGTGGAATTGTTGGGCATAATATTGAACTGGGAATTTAATTATTGGAATTTACCTAACATTGGAATTGAGAGGAATTTAATTATGAATTATTCTTTAAGACTGACCTGGAATTTCAATTGAATGAAATGGAATTTACAGGGAGAGGGAATTTAAATATAATTGAATTTGTGTGTTATCCCTTTGTTGACTGTGTTCCCTATGTTGGCTATGTGTGTTATACCTGTGTTAATTGTGTTGGCTGTGTTTGTTATACCTGTGTTGGCTGTGTGTGTTACATGATTACCTATGTTGGTTGTGTGTGATATACCTGTGTTGACGGTGTTACCTGTGGGTGTTAGTGTACCTGTGTTGATGATAGTCTCAGGCTCTGCCCCAGGCTCCAATCTGGCTCTGTTGATGGTCCTGCCTGCCAGGTCGGTCCAGTACACCTTCCTCTCCCTGCAGTCATAGTCGATGCCCACCACAATGGAGCCCTGTGGAGAAACACATACAGTTTACACCTTACAGTTCAACACAGGTTGTAGGTTAGCCACAAAAATAACACGTCACACAAAACCGTATGCATCTCCAAATACGGTGGTGAGTGCCGTGAACTGCACATAAGGCCTAGAACACTGAGAAATTGTGAATGGCTGACATACAATTAGATATTCCTAGCTGTTCAATAGTACAAGCTCTAGATCAGCGCTCTCCAACCCTGTTCCTGGAGAGCTACACTGCTGTAGGTTTTTCGCTCCAACCCCAGTTCTAACTAACCTGATTTAGTTTATCAACCAGCTAATTATTAGAAACAGGTGCACTAGATTAAGGTTGGAGTGAAAACCTACAGCATGGTTCTCAACTGGTTTTGCCTCGGGTCCCAAATTCAACCAGGTTGCCTCAGTCGCGACCCAATATTCGCACTGCTCTAGATGAAGCTCTTGATAGCGCAGCTTTCAGAAGCACTGTGACCAACCACCGCAACCAGCAAGGACTAGCATGGAGTTGCCTAGTATTCTTCATTACATGCAGAGCCAGTAGTGTAGAGGAGCGCTACGAGTCCATGTGTGTGTTGTTGAGAGGCAGCGCGCCGATCTGTTGTCCCTGGGCGTACAGGAGGGAGTTGCCTGAGGGGGGCGGGGTAACATCAGGGTGGGGTAGAGGGTGCATGGTGGGAGGGGCTACATTAGGGATACCTGGAGGTGAGAGGAAAGAAGAAAGTCAGGATAAAACACTGAGAATGTATTGAGAGATGTAATTTCATATGTTAATGTACCGTATGGGTAAAGGACAACCACAAGTGGTTTCCAATGTAGTCATGTTTAAAGTCAAGTTCTCAATGGTCTAGTAGTGCAAGACTTCAGGACCAAATATAGGTTGTTATTGTAAATACGAAGTTGTTAATTTACCTACCTGGTTAGGTATATAAATAAATATACAAATGAATGCATTAGTGAATTAATGGATAAATTAATTAATAAAATATTAACTTCCGATAGACCAACATAACAGAGGCTCTCCGCACTGCTAAAGCTAACTCTCTCTCCTCTGCTCTTGTCCTTCTATACCCGTCTGCTGCCTTTGATACTGTGAACCATCAGATCCTCCTCTCCACCCTCTCCGAGCTGGGCATCTCCGGCGCGGCTCACTCTTGGATTGCGTCCTACCTGACCGGTCGCTCCTACCAAGTGGCGTGGCGAGAAGCTGTCTCCGCACCACGTGCTCTCACCACTGGTGTCCCCCAGGGCTCAGTTCTAGGCCCTCTCCTATTCTCGCTATACACCAAGTCACTTGGCTCTGTCATGTCCTCATATGGCCTCTCCTATCATTGCTATGCAGACAACACACAACTAATCTTCTCCTTTCCCCCTTCTGATAACCAGGTGGCGAATCGCATCTCTGCATGTCTGGCAGACATATCAGTATGGATGACGGATCACCACCTCAAGCTGAACCCTGGCAAGACGGAGCTGCTCTTCCTCCCGGGGAAGGACTGCCCGTTCCATGATCTCGCCATCACGGTTGACAACTCCGTTGTGTCCTCCTCCCAGAGTGCGAAGAGCCTTGGCGTGACCCTGGACAACACCCTGTCGTTCTCCGCTAACATCAAGGCGGTGACCCGATCCTGTAGGTTCATGCTCTACAACATTCGGAGAGTACGACCCTGCCTTACACAGGAAGCGGCACAGGTCCTAATCCAGGCACTTGTCATCTCCCGTCTGGATTACTGCAACTCGCTGTTGGCTGGGCTCCCTGCCTGTGCCATTAAACCCCTACAACTCATCCAGAATGCCGCAGCCCGTCTGGTGTTCAACCTTCCCAAGTTCTCTCACGTCACCCCGCTCCTCCGCACACTCCACTGGCTTCCAGTTGAAGCTCGCATCTGCTACAAGACCATGGTGCTTGCCTACGGAGCTGTGAGGGGAACGGCACCTCCGTACCTTCAGGCTCTGATCAGTCCCTACACCCAAACGAGGGCATTGCGTTCATCCACCTCTGGCCTGCTGGCTCCCCTACCTCTGCTGAAGCACAGTTCCCGCTCAGCCCAGTCAAAACTGTTTGCTGCTCTGGCACCCCAATGGTGGAACAAGCTCCCTCACGACGCCAGGACAGCGGAGTCACTCACCACCTTCCGGAGACATTTGAAACCCCACCTCTTTAAGGAATACCTGGGATAGGATAAAGTAATCCTTCTACCCCCCCCCCCCCACTATTTCTGGACAGACAGCATCAGATACATGGGGCGGCGCGCAATTGGCCCAGCGTCGTCCAGGGTAGGGGAGGGAATGGCCGGCAGGGATGTAGCTCAGTTGATAGAGCATGGCGTTTGCAACGCCAGGGTTGTGGGTTCGGTTCCCACAGGGGGTATGAAAAAAAATAAAATAATGTATGCACTCACTAACTGTAAGTCGCTCTGGATAAGAGCGTCTGCTAAATGACTAAAATGTAACTATAGAGGGGCGCTGATTAGCTCGCTCGGATGCTTTCTCTGGTGACATACTGTAGTTTCAGCAGAGCGGAAGAGGCGAAGCGAGAGGGCTCGCTCTCGCCAAAATCTGTCCAGATTAAGCCCTATGCGTTTCTATGGGCATAATATTCAGACCTAAACTTGTCGCCTGCCTTCCCGTCTTTCGGACAAAGACTCCCATTGTTAGGGCGGAGACATGAGCATCTCATCATTATACACAGATCTCTGGTTTCAGCCTCTTGCGAATTGGAAAGCAAAGTTGGCGGGTGCACAGTGCACTGTTAGGATGCTGGAATCCCCTAAATTAAATGTATGTTTTGCCAAAATTATATAATTACTTCACCAGGGAGCAACTTAGCCACAGAGGATCATTAGCTTATTTTTTTTTTCAATAGCTGTGGATTGTTTCAAATCACAAGTGTGTAGGCCTATGCGTATTTGCGAAGCCTGCAGTTTGGGTAGTGCGCATGGCAATAGGTCTAGCTGATTGAGTTGCGGCTGTCAGTGAGCATCTAAAATATGTGTGAAGATAATATGTCTTGAGTATAATTTAAAATGTTGCAACAACAAGAAGGGGAGGTATGTGTGGCAAAGATATGGCGCTTCTCTCTCCAGAATGCATGCACTTAGCTCTCAAGAATGCGCTCAGCTGTCTCCCACCAATTCTTGCAAATTCATTGTTTCATTGTGTGAATTGTTTGCCCTTTGATGGTTTATTTTTGATCAATTCCCCATTGGCCTACTAAATGTACCGTTAATTCCCCGTCATTTGGTTACATACATTTCTGTTAATGCATGTATTAATTATAGTAATTTACCGTTCTCATTCTCGGACTGGAAATGTTGTTTGCCGAGTTCACAACCTGCTACACTTGTGAGAAACAAGTTTTGGTTTCTTTTATTACCATTATGAGTTTTGTACATTTTTTCATTGTCTTTTTTTGGAGTGCTCCATGTGAGCGATGAACATGTGTCTGGTTTCTCTTCCCTGATAATGTTGAGGGAGCGTGTGCCAGAGCACACACAGAAGTAGGCATGCCTGTCCTGCTGCGTGCAAAAGTAAGAAAGTGCCCATTTGGCGATGTCTGATTGTCATAACTCACCACGTCCACCACTAATAAGCTGAGCTACTCAGTCATTTTTTCTTCACCTCACACAGTAAGTCAACAAAGTATGTTTTTTAACATCAATTGTGAATGATAGTTCCTCAGTATTTTAAACATCTTTCCAACATTCCCGGCCTCGATTAATCACCAAGCCTCGGTGTGAAAGAGCATGATCTGATGATTCCATATATCCCGTGGAAATGTCATTAAAAAACTGCCCAAACTGGAGGGGGAACCTCTGAAGGTTTGGAATAGGCTGGTTTATACAATGTTGCAAGTTCGCTAGGAACAGCTTCAGGCAGACCCAGTTCGATGATTTGATACAATGTTGCACTTCACTAGCAATAGCTCAAGTCAAGAGGCTTACTGCTGCATTGGCCTATAGGCTATTCTGAGTTCTATGCTCTCATTTCTTTAGCCGCCAATGGATCACAGTGTATCAATGTGTCCATATGGCAGAGGCTGGTGCTCTCTCCCTTAGTTGATTTTATTTGTTTTACTTCAGATTTTTATGATTAACCACGTGACAATGACTTAGAGAAACGAAAACGTTATTATTGAAATGAAACTGTTCCACAAAAATGTGCATAGAAATATAATCATAACTGGCACGCAGATCGGTAGAAATGGTAGGATAAATTGTAAGCTTCCCGAAACTTGAAACTCATGAGCTGCCTATGGTCTTGACTATAACACCCCTTTAAATAAATTGTGAACGCGCAAGCGCGTGCACACACAGGACCTCCCATGAAAAAACGTGCCCGCCTATGGAAATCAAAGGCCCGTCCAACTGATTCGTTCTTGCGCCGGCCCTGCTTCAAATTAATATCAACAAATGTTTTATCCCCAAAAGGTTTGAGGTATGTGCCCAAGGTTAGACTCCAACTTTCTATATACAGTACAAACTTCAAAACATAAAAGGATGACCAGCAGCTTCAGTTACGTCACTCACAGGCAGGCTTGACCACGTCTTGCGAGCGCGTCCCAGCCACCTCGCGGCCGTCCTGGTCCACACACCAGCAGTAGCTGCTGTGGCCATAGCACTGGACGGGGTTGAACTGGCCCTGGGGGTCACACTGGGGCAGGTAGTGGTGGGGCTCGGCCTGGCCCCCGTAATGGTCCACCAGGCTGACCCGCCAACGCTCGCACACCGTATCCGGCCACTGGGTGGGGGGCATTACCTCTGAGGGAGAGAGGGGGGCAGAGGAAGAGGGCACATGGGTTATATACAGTAAGTAGAGCTAGGAAAACTCCAGTATTTTTTTATTGAATTGAATCACTTTATTTGGATAATCCTAAATAGATGGTTTTTAGATGTTCAGTAGATGTTCAACTAACTGTCAGCAACACTTCTAATAACTATCCACTAACCCTAACCCTTACTCTAATCCTAAAATTAAGCCTAACTGTAAAGAGGTTGCATATCAACAGAGTTGCAGTTGAGTTTGTTGATAGAACATCTTAGTCATTTAGCAGATGCTCTTATCCAGAGCGGCTTACAGGAGCAATTAGGGTTAAGTGCCTTGCTCAAGGGCACAGACAGATTTTTACCCTTGTTGGCTCTGGATTCACTAGGCTACCTGCCACCCTGCTCTGTCCTCTAGCATCAAGAGGTCCATCATCACATCGAACATTACGTTGATCATCAAATCATCAATTGATCATTGAATTATGACAAAAGCTTCAAAGTGTGTGGATGGTCCGTACACTCTTCTTTCACAGGGTAATTTCTATGACTTTCTATGACTAAGTAAGGTGTTATGTCCGAGTTGAAATGTGTTATCTTCAACACCTGCATGCACGGTCATTGAAAAGCGAGCCAATAAGAAAAAACGACTAAGGGTTGACGCAATGTGAGCTGTAAAGACTATTATGTACATGTATAGCCTATGTATGGTGTATGACTAACCTACCTACTGCACGTTGTGTGCATGGTCAATGTAACCCTCGACAGGTCGGTCTTTGAAGACGAGGCAATATTATAAACAACCGCAGTCAAATGGGGGTTAATTCTCCAGAATTGTATTAATAGCCAGAGTTAGGCGTAGTGCTTCATGATTAGTGCATACATTTACACTGTGAAACGCTACCTTGCCTTCAGAAAGTATTCACACTCCTTGACTTTTTCCACAGTTTGTTGTGTTACAGCCTGAATTTAAAATTGATTAAATTGAGTTTGACACTGGCCTACACTCAATACTTCATAATGTCAAAGTGGAATTATGCTTTTCAAAAAGTTAAAATTAAAAGCTGACATGTCTTGAGTCAATAAGTATTCAACCCCTTTGTTATGGCAAGCATAAATAAGTTCAGGAGTAACATTTTCTTAACAAGTCACATAATAAGTTGCATGGACTCACTCTATGTGCAATAATAGTGTTTAACATGATTTGTGAATGACTACCTCATCTCTGTACCCCACACATACAATTATCTGTAAGATCTCTCAGTCGAGCAGTGAATTTCAAACACAGATTCAACCACAAAGACCAGCGGTGTTTTCCAATGCCTTACAAAAGAGGGCACCTATTGGTATTATTTTTTTTATATCCCTTTAAGCAGTGTAAAGTTATTAATTATACTTTGGATGGTGTATCAATACACCCAGTCACTACAAATATACAGGCATCCTTACTAACTCAGTTGCCGGAGAGGAAGGAAACCGCTCAGGGATTTCACCATGAGGCCAATGGTGACTTTAAAACAGTTATAGAGTTTAATGGCTGTGATAGGAGAAAACTGAAGATGGATCAACAACATTGTAGTTACTGCACAATACTAACTTAATTGACAGAGTGAAAAGATGGAAGCCTGTACAGAATAACAATTTTCCAAAACATGCATCCTGTTTGCAACAAGGCACTAAAGTAATAGTGCAAAAACGTTGGCAAAGCAATACACTTTTTTCTCCTGAATACAACGTGTTACAGTATGTTTGGGGCAAATCTAATACAACACATTACTGAGTACCACTCTCCATATTTTCAAGCATAGTGGTGGCTGCATCATGTTATGGGTATTTTTGTAATTGTTAAGGACTGAGGAGTTTTTCAGGATTAAAAAAAAATGGAATGGAGCTAAGCACAGGCAAAATCCTAGAGGAAAACCTGGTTCAGTCTGCTTTCCACCAGACACTGGGAGATGAATTCACCTTTCAACAGGACAATAACCTAAAACACAAGGACAAATCTACACTGGAGTTGCTTACCAAGAAGACAGTGAATGGCTGAGTTAAAGTTTTGACTTAAATCTACTTGAAAATCTATAGCAAGACCTGGAAATGGTTTAGCAATGAACAACAACCAATTAGACAGAGCTTGAAGAATTTTTAAAAGAATAATGGGCAAGTGTTGCACAATCCAGGTGTGGAAAGCTCTTAGAGACTTACCCAGAAAGACTCACTGCTGTAATCACTGCCAAAGGTGCTCCTACAAAGTATTGACTCAGGGGTGTGACTACTTATGTAAATTAGATATTTCTCTATTTCATTTTGAATACCTCTGAAACATTTCTAAGAACATATTTTCACTTTGTCATTATGGGGTATTGTGTGTAGATGGGTGAGAAAAAAAAATACATTTAATCCATTTTGAATTCACGCTGTAACAACAAAATGTGGAATAAGTCAAGGGGTATGAATACTATTCTGAAGGTACTGTATATACAGTACATTCGGAAAGTATTCAGACCTCTTGACTTTTTACACATTTTGTTACGTTACAGCTTTATGCTAAAATGGAAAAAATTGTTTTTTTCCCTCATCAATCTACACACAATACCCCATAATGACAAAGCAAAAACAGGTTTTTATATTTTTTTGCAAATTTACTGCAAATAAAAAACGTCAATATCACATTTACATAACTTTTCAGACCCTTTACTCAGTGCTTTGTTAAATCACCTTTGTCAGCGATTAAAGCCTAGAGTCTTCTTGGTTATAACGCTTGGCACACCTGTATTTGGGGAGTTTCTCCCATTCTTCTCTGCAGATCCTCTCAAGCTCTGTCAGGTTGGATGGGGAGCATCGCTGCACAGCTATTTTCAGGTCTCTCCAGAGATGTTCGATCAGGTTCAAGTCCGGGCTCTAGCTGGGCCACTCAAGGACATTCAGAGACTTGTCCCGAAGCCACTCCTGCGTTGTCTTGGCTGTTTGCTTAGGGTTGTTGTCCTGTTGGAAGGTGAACCTTTGCCCCAGTCTGTGGTCCTGAGCGCTCTGGAGCAGGTTTTCATCAAGGATCTCCGTTCATCTTTCCCTCAATCCTGACTAGTCTCCCTGCCGCTGAAAAACATCCCCCCAGCATGATGCTGCCACCACCATGCTTCACCGTAGGGATGGTGCCAGGTTTCCTCCAGATGTGACTATTGGCATTCAGGCCAAAGAGTTCAATCTTGGTTTCATCAGACCAGAGAATCTTGTTTCTCATGGTCTGAGAGTCCTTTAGGTGCCTTTTGGCAAACTCCAAGCGGGCTGTCATGTGCCTTTTACTGAGGAGTGGCTTCCATCTGGCCACTCTACCATAAAGAAGAAAAGGAGAGCCGCACACTCTAGGAGCTCAGATGCAATAATTTAATAACCTAATAACCAACGTTTCGACAGACAAGCTGTCTTCATCAGGGTATAATGACAAACATTGCGGGTCACTAGTTTATATAGTGTCAAAGGACACACACAGGTGTCTAATCATCGCTGGGTGTGGCCAGATGTCATTGGTTAATTCACAGATAAACAGAACATACAAAAGACATACAATTGCATCTGAGCTCCTAGAGTGTGCGGCTCTCCTTTTCTTTTTCAAGTGTTCTACTCCGTTAGCCAGCACCTCGACTAAATAGGTGTGCGTTTCTTTCACCTCCAAATCACTCTACCATAAAGGCCTGATTGGTGGAGTGCTACAGAGATGGTTGTCTTCTGGAAGGTTCTCCCATCTCCACAGAGGAGCTCTGGAGCTCTGTCATCAGATTCTTGGTCACCTCCCTGACCAAGGCCCTTCTCCCCTGATTGCTCAAATTGGCCGGGCGGCCAGCTCTAGGAAGAGTCTTGGTGGTTCCAAACTTCTTCCATTTAAGAATGATGGAGGCCACTGTGTTCTTGGGGACCTTCAATGCTGCAGAGATGTTTTGGTACCCTTCCCCAGATCTGTGCCTCGACACAATCCTGTCTCAGAGCTCTAAGGTCAATTCCTTCAACCTCATGGCTTGGTTTTTGCTCTGACATGCACTGTCAACTGTGGGACCTTATATAGACAGGTGTGTGCCTTTCCAAATCATGTCCAATCAATTGAATTTACCACAGGTGGACTCCAATCAAGTTGTAGAAACATCTCAAGGATAATCAATGGAAACAGGATGCACCTGAGCTCAATTTCGAGTCTGATAACAAAGGGTCTGAATACTTCTGTAAATAAGGTATCTTTTTTGTTTTGTTTTTTTGCACAAAAATCGAAAAACCTGTTTTCGCTTTGTCATTATGGGGTATTGTGTGTAGATTGATGAGGAAATTTTTTTTAAAAATCAATTTTAGAATAAGGCTATAACGTAACAAAATGTGGAAAAAGGGAAGGGGTCTGAATACTTTCCGAATGCACTGTATTTCTGGAAGAAATCCTCCATTGCCCTTATAAGGATCCTCTAATGCAGGTCTGTCAAACCTCCGGCCCGTGAGGGGGTCCAATCTGGCCTACGGGTAGTTTGAGTAGAACATTTGTACATTCTTTTATTATATTTTTTTGTGTGGGGGAATACAAACTCAATATACTTTAAAATGACTAAAACCAAATCGTACAGTTTCTTGACTGTGTCCAGCTCGCAAAAAATCACCAAAATGAAAGCTAGACAGTCAGGAAGCATAGAGAATTCCAAAAACGATGGATAGAGGACAATTTCTTTGCAAATTTTAACCGAATGCAGCCCCTGGGGCATCGCTTCGCCCAAGCTGGCTAGCATGTTGGAATGCTCCCGGACCCGCTCCACGACTCCAGGCATATTCCCGTTTCCTACTGACTCCATGCTGTTGGGTGTGTGATTCTGTGGTGATGGAGTCAGGCGCAGGAGTGTGAAGAAGGAATATGCTTTATTAAGCCCAATAAGGTAGTCCGCAGCAATGCATAAACACGATCCCAGTGCGACTTAAATACGTACTGGGAACCAAACATACACGGGTAAATATTCCCGCCAATAA